CTCGCTCCTAACGGGGGGCTAACATCCGAACAATCGCGATTACGCAACAACGCGAAGTACTTCAAGCCGCCATTATCGCTGTCAGTCGTTAATTCAGCTCTTAACCCGGGCCGAGACCGCGTCGACCACGGGTTTCCGTCGGAATCCGTCCGCTCTGAGACAGGCCGTTAACCGCTTAAAAATTGATCTGTATACCAACGAGCCGAGTCGAGATACTACACCGGCGAGCCCCCGTCTACCAATCTCGGAACTGTAGCCGCTTTGACAGACTGGCGTTTCTGGCGTGAAAACGCTCGCCAATTAACCCGCGGTGAATTATGCACCGCCCTTTACTCGCTAATTTAGTAGGTGACTTATGTCGTACTTGCCAGCCGACAAGCGCAGAAACGAATTCGAGTACCTCGCTGAACGGTAACCTTCTTCTCTCTTTCTCTTCTTCGTCTTCCACGGGATTCTCGTCTTGCTCTTTTTCTTCTTGCCTCCGTTGATGCCTCCGTTTCTGTCTGCGATCGTCCTCGACGAGACGGCCCCAGCGCACGGCTCGGCGCGGTGCGATGTCGCGAGCCAGCCGGACATCCGGCAACTCGCCGTTCCCGGTCCCTTTGATGTCTTTTGAGCGGACGAATTCGCGGGATCGTACGCCGAATGAAATATCGCCTCTCGGTGGCGCTCGTTTCTACTCGCCACGTTTTCCAGCGAATCGTCTCTCCGCAGACCCCGACCCGGATACACGGCGACGCTTATCGGGGATTACTTAGTTTCTCCTTGCAATCGGTTTATTGCGGGAGAAACTAGAGGAGGATGGGTAACGGCCTTTAGCAACGAACTACGGTCGAGCTTCCGAGAAATTTGTCCTACCCTTCCCGCGACAGCTATTTTCATCGGATCGTTGCTTTTTCTCTCGCCAGCCGAATCTCTCTTTTCATTCTGCGAATCTGAATGTCTTATAACTGTGAGAATTAGGAATTTTTATTTGACTAATGAAATAAGATGTATTGCAAGATTGAGCGATTTTGTAAAATATGAAAAATTCTGTTTTTTGTTTTAGAATCGCTATTATGGTTTATTAGTAGCCAGCCGATTTCCACTGATTCGTGGTTTGGTAGGATGCTAGTACCCGGTGGAAGGGCAGGGACACGCGACTTTTTCATGTAATCGCGCAGGAAGTCGAAGAGTTACTGCCTCCGCCGCGCTGCGGTACGGCGTTGGTATTCGGCCAGTATACGATGGTTTATTCAAGAACAATAGATAGTCCTGGACAGCATCCGGGACCTACGTCGAAAAGGAGCGGCCGCATCAAACATTCCCGTTGTAACCGAGGCCACAAATCGGGAAGCCAGACATCGTCGATATATTATGATCCTCGGACGGAGACGTCCCCGGTGTTCTTTACCGATTCAACTGCTGTTACTCGGGCATTCATGTCGGGGAAGAAAAAAAGAGGAAACAACGAGAGGATACCAACCGATCCTGTGATCGCACAAGTGGTTTCCCTCCTGGCCTCTTTATTACCGTTTGATGTATACCCGATATTGTGCCTTTTCAATTCGTATCATTTACGGTGACGGAGAGAAATTATGCGATCCGACACGTCTAGAAGCTAAACGATGCCTCTTTAACTTTATTACATTGAGCATCGGTAATTATGAAAAGAATCTTGCCAACTTTCAATATTCATTTTTCGTATTCAATCTCTTTATAAAATATTTCTCGTGGCTTAACGGTGACTCAACCTGTAAGCGTACATAAACATTATCGTACATTTCGACATGTAACAAGTAACAAACTCTCTTAAAATAAGGATTTACGCGTAGCAATGGTCCTGCATGTTAAGAGAGAGAGAGAAGTTACAAATTCGGTCCTACTACGATTGTGATATCATTTTTGCTAGTCGCCCTTTGCCGTTCCCGGTCGCGGTTGTTGCTCGCCTCGAGAGTAATCTGCACGGTCGCGAGAACGATCTATCAACCCGTACAACGAGAACTTTGACGCGACGTCAAAACGCGGGCCCGTTAATTTTTCATGTCGTTTCACCCGGAACTCGCGAGCGAGCCTGCACCCCTGGTCGTACCGATCCGCGTTCGAGGAGACGCTCGTCCAGCAAGTTGTTCCGACGTTGCCATTCATTATTCACCTCCTACACGCCTTGCTACCTTTCGACACACACGGTTGCGCGCCGAGGGAAAACGAATCACCGCGTGTCTCGCGAAGAGACTTTTACAGCGAATCGAGGATTTTCGGATTAAATCGAGCGAAGCCGTCGTCGTCGTCTCGCTGAGACCGCGCCGGGAAAGTAAGCGAAAGCAGCGCTTCAATTAAACGACGTAATAAAAAAAAGTTGCGAAGACGCGGAAGCCTAATAGAAATCTTTTTTTCCCGCCTACGAGAGTCCGTTAATTACCATAAGTTAATTACAACGAGGCGAAAACGGAGCCGCTGCCGCCGCAGCGCTCTGCCCCCCCCCCCTGTCGAACCTCGCCACCCTTGCCACGTAAACTTGCCACCTTCTCCGTCTAGTAAGTGCGTCGCCTCGTCCACCCCTGTCATATTTACGAGGCGAACTTCGCCTTTAAGCCTGCCGATGTTTTTAACTTTATCGCGACCGGCGAAGTATGATTTTACGAGAAGCCCGCGGGCTAAATATGCCCGTGTCGTAAAATTAACGGCGTTTCCATAAAGGAATCCGTGGTGGTTGCGTTAAAAGTCGATAAAAGCCAATAAAGCATCGGAGCCACGGAGAGCGGCAGTTTAGTATAGTTTATCGTTCCTCCCTTTCGCGAAAGCGTTGCCTGCCTGTCCACGGCTAAACCTGACCGCTTCTCCTCTCTCTGCGCCCATTTGCAGAGTCCTCCGGATAAGACTTACGAGGACTCCGCGTTCCGAAACTGAGTTCGAGGACCTCTGCTCCCAAAGACTCAACATCGTTACACTGTTGTTCACCAGAACCCAACGGCTAGCTGTTAACTTTTATTGGTTTTAGTCGGTCCGTCTTCCAACGGTTTTTAAATAAACGAAGCAACGAAGTCCAACAACTAATCAAATTGTATTACACACAAAGAAGAACTGTCTTTCTAGTAAAGAGAAATTATAACTTTTCTCTTGATGCTCATTTTTGCCACGTAAACAATAAACGAAGAAGAGATAAAACTGAAGACAATACGAAGACAAATTACACATAATAATATTTTTATTTTCATTTGTTGTATTACGCAATGAATGAAATAATAAAGAATTGCAAGAGTAGATTCATTCAGCATAGAATACGTACAAGATTTGTTTTCTGAAATACAGTGTTAACTATGTACATTATCACAAGTTTAATTCAGTTTAGGATTATTCATTTTACATCTCTTATTCGACTGTGAATGTCTGGCGACTTATTAACGGGAGTGTACAAGCGTACACAGGTGAGATACGTACCGCGGCTTGATTATCGTCTGTTCGCCAGGTAAAGCTACTAAAAAGCAGCATCCACGTCGGGTCGGTAGATAGTGTTGTCTCGGTTAGTGCCTGGACGACACGATCATTTTGCAACTGAGCTACTATTATATTGGTAATGGGTCGGTTTTATCTGGAGTACACTCCCCGCGGGCTTGTCCCGAGAAACTCTGGGTACGAGCGTATACACGTACACGTCGTGCCACCTGCATTTTTGCACATCGCTATCTTTATGGTGGCATAAAACGGGTTTACCGGGCAATTTAAATGCCGTTCTGCGCATTAAGCGCGCGACTTAATACATTTTTTTTTTCATTCTAAAATTAGAAGTTTTCCTCGCGCTCAGATTTGGTGAACGGGATATGTAACGTACACCTCGCGATCGTGGTCGCTGACAAATTAATTTCACGTACTGTCCGAATGAGACGTGGAGCTTCCAGAGTTGGCGTTCGAACCGAAGAATGAATACGAACGCGAACAGTGGCTTCTATTGAAATGATATCGTAACGTCAGTCGTCTCAATTTAAAATTGGACGCGCGTATTACGTTCTGTCATCTGATCACAGATTGTCCGTATAAATAGCGGTTCGATTTTCGAAGACGGCGTACGCACGACCGAGAAGGGATAAGAGGGAAAAATCGAAACGGAAAGGGGGATACGGGTGTCCACATAACTCTGCGGGATCTAAGCGAGTGGGGCACGGAGGGATGGAGGACCCCGGGCACAGCACAACTCTTTGAAGGTTTATGCCGATTCAGGAACGAGTTGATTCATGAAGACGGGATGGACCTCCTTGGGATCCGCGGCTCGGTGCCCCCAAGGCCGTGGCGGGTGGTCCCGCGGCTTGATTTCTTGTTTCCTCCACCACGCTCGATCCGGCCTCGATTCTCCTCTTCCCTCTGCTGTTTCCATCTCGTTCGAAAACGAGACGGAGGAACGTATCGAGACTGGTCGTGGAACAGTGACAGAGGGAAAGAGTGAGGACGAAGGGGAACACCATCGGTCCGTGGCATTCCCCCGCTGCTGTCCGTATACCTATAGCGATTGGCGATTTAAATGTTTACTAATAACCAAGCTTGTCCCGCAACCACCCAGAAGTCGGTCGCTTTGCATTTTTATAAGTACATCTTACGGCCGGTTCCGAGAACGAGACGACGTTTCATATTCATCTGCCGCTGCGCCGCCGCGCCGGCAGACTGTCCTCCCTATCTCTTTTGTTCCCTCTTTGTGGTACTCGGTGGAATCCCTCTGGCGCGTATTGTCTCTCGATACATGCGATTAGCCGGTGGCCAGCATAATCATTCGCGTTCCCGTTTCTCGTTTCGCGAGTCCGATCGTTAAGAAACTGTCCACTCTTAACTTAACCCTCTAATGTCGGACATAAACAATGCAAATAGTATTTTAAAAGACACTTGGTTCTTAACGTCTCAATTCTTTTTATTAAAAATCGTCAAATCTGAATTATTGTATATAAAAATGTAACGCAAGGACTGTCGTTAATACGTCAAACACGTATCTACTGAGCAATTATTAAATTGTTAAAAAAAAAATACATCCTTGATTACTCACCTTTTCCCACTACATACTTGTAAAGCTATCGGAGTTTTTTCTCACAGATCGACGGACCGGATGATCGATTGGAACAAGGGGGTAAGGAACAATGACTACAGCTCAAAGACATTCTCTCTTTTTTTTATAATGATTCGTTTATTGCGAAAGGACACAGTCTGCGGGCCATCTGCCAATGTGGCATCGTGGCGAGCTCGCGTGAAATTTTGGACACGAATGACTAAAAGGTGATGGCGATCGTTCACTCTCGACATGACATGATATGTTGACGGTTAACGTTGCGCCTCGCTGCTATACACGAGAACAACATCTTCGGTTACCTGCGCGCGGTGATCAAGTATAGCGCATACGTTTCCTCGCCCTTCTGTAAAAGCGAAGGGCGTCGCTGAAAGGTTCGGGCGCAACGCGAGTTCCAGAGGTTCTGTCAGATTACGGAGTTGGGCACGTTCGACGAAAAAACCGCGTCGCTCGAAAGGAAAGAAAGAGAGAGGAAAAAAAGGGATTGGGATAAGAGAGGAGGCAGGAAAGAAACGCGTCGCGTGTACGATTTTTATATCACCTTTTCACGCGTTTTATATATCACGATTAGCGACAATATTCTGCGGGTTCGTCGTCTTACGGGGAGCGCGCAACAGCAATAAATAAATAATACTTACGAACGGAGAGGAACTCGTGGTGGCGAGTTTCCGCGTCGTTCGTTCCAGGCGAGGGTCGCGCTCCGCGCACGTGTTCCTCCGTAATCTGTCATACGGCGATCAACGATCCATATTTCTCACGTCATGATCGACCGAGCCGACGTGAATCGATAATATTATAAACATTGCAATAACAATAATAATAATAATAATAATCCATAATAATAATAATAATCATAATAATAATAATCGCTGTCGTCGTTAGTATGAATTATGATCTCAATTATTATAATAATAATATCGGTGCCTACTCTACATACAATACATACACTGGCCGGACGCTCTCTACTGGGCCCTCTCTACTATTTACAAACGCATAAATAATTATTAATTATTATCGTGTGTGTCTGTGTGTATTTATATATATAATATACTTTATATATAATATTAATGTCGTCGTAGTAGACACGCCTAGGATATCTGTATCTTGCTTTCTTTTTTTTTTATCATTTACCTTTTAAACCGCAGATTAGCTGCCCTAAGGAAGAGATAAACGGGTCCTACGGGATTTCTCCTTCTGTTTCCTCTCCTTCGCCTTTTCCTTCCCACGTTTCGATTTTTCCCTTCCTCGAGAAGAAGCAGGAAAATAATTGCGACGAAGGACCAGAGAGAGCAGGAACTAGGAGGGCGATGGGGAGGGTAGCACGGTGAGTCCGAAAGACGAAGAGAGACAAACTAGGAACGATGGACAGAGGCCAGGGGATGATCCGAAGGCATGGGGGAGGGGCAGTATTTTATACCTAATTTCATGTATCTCGTTCCGACTCGCTTCTCTTCGCTCGATTACTGTACACTAATTACAAGGGTTGTAGTCTCTGATTATTGTCATCCACACCAAACACTGGCGCCGCGCGGAACGTCTCCTGCGCGGGCGAGAAGCTCCCGTTGCTCGAACATTATCTCGATTCGAGCGAATTTGTTTCAGTATACCTAAGTCCGTCGTGGTCCCGGTACACGCGGGAATCACACCCTGCCGGGTGATTTGAGCTCCTGCGTGGACGGCAAGCTTCCGCTCGGATGGGGCGACTCACCGGACCCACCGGAAGACGCCGTCGACGAGGAAGAAGGAGACAAACCGGAGGTGGCGGTGGTCAAAAGCACGCCGGGTCCACCGGGAGCACCGGTACCGCCGTTAATCGTGAAAGGTTTAACGTTACCGCTCGCTGAGACGGTCGAAGAGGAAGACGTTAGTATACTGGGCGCCGTGGATGGCGGCATCACGCCGCTCAGTCCGCCCAACGTCCTCGAATACGTCTCCAGTAGGGACATGTCGCCGGACCCGAGGTGAGACGCGCCGTACAGATTTCGATAGAAATCCGGATGATGCCGGACGAACTGCGCTCCCGAGTGCATCGCCGGGTGCAGGGGGTAATGGGGTGGTAATCGACTGGCCAAAGGACTCACCAACTTTCCACCTCCGCCGCCGCCACCTCCAGCGACTCCTCCACCTGCCCCGCCGCTACCACCGTAAGGAGACGAGAGACCAGCCATTGTCGTCGGCGTCGGACTCTGCTGCTCGCCGTCCTTACTCGCCATGTCGGCCAAGGACCAGATCCGCGGCTTCGTGGTGACTCCGCTGCCTGTCGACGACGCAGTGGTCGACGCGGGTAAGTGGTGACTGCTGGGTGGCGTACTTTCGGGTGACGGATGACGTAACAAACGGCCGTGAGAGGAAGCGAGGTACGCCGGATGCTGGAGCTGCAGAGGATGCCTGGGCTCTCTCTGATCGTAGAGGCACTCCGGACTATCTGGACCACTGTCTGCTCGCGATTCGCTCCACTCGCTCTCGGTTCTACCTTGAACACCCGCGGACCCACCGCTAGTGCCCAGAAGGTCCATCCGGTGGGCCGGTCGCTCTCCGTCTTCGCTCGACCCGGTGCCCGAGTCCTTTGAATCTGTGGACAAAGAACAGGATTTGTCTACGAGCGATGAAAAGATGGTACTCGGATGGTTTCGTTCGAGGAAAGGAAAGGGTGAAGGCGAATCGGATTCGTTGCAGTATTTACCTAGCCGGTCCTTCTCGTCGACGCTCTTCCTTCCGCTGTCATCGTCCTCGTTGTTGTTATCCTCATCCTCGACCCTGTTCCTCGGTTCCCACGTCATCTTGTTCTCTTTCTTCAGTCGTCTCCGCGCGTTCGCGAACCACGTGGACACTTGGGTCAGAGTCATCTTCGTGATGATGGCCAGCATAATTTTCTCGCCCTTCGTCGGATACGGATTCTTCTTGTGCTCGTTCAACCAGGCCTTGAGCGTGCTCGTCGTCTCTCGTGTCGCGTTTTTCCGTCTGGCACCGTTCAGATCCATGCCATAACTGAAACAGAGCAAACCAAGCGCCCACTGAGTCCCAGGATCCTTCGATCTCCTTCGTTGCATTATCGATTTTAGTCTCTCAAAGGCTAACAACTTAAACGAATCTCATTCCGTGGCTTCAGTCACAAAAAAAAAATACTGCGAGAGGTCTCGCGGCAGCGAATTGAGCAAAGTCTTTAATAGGAACCACTTGACGAGCAGACAAGAGAGTCCATCCTTTTATTAAGTCCTTCGACGTCGACCACAGTTCTCATCGTCGTCGGGTATACGTGACCCGGATATAAGACAGCGGAGGACGTACACAAGTTGGGAGACGTTATACGAGCGAATTGGATAACAGAGAGACATATACAGGAGGAAGGAGAACGAGGTAGACAGAAGAGGAAGGCAAAGCCTTCGGTGGTAGTTCGTGTCGGAAAACTTATCCAATCGTGAGGCTCGTTACGCCTTCCTCCCGTGGCTCCGGTATAAAAGTCCGAGTCCTGTTCGGTTAGAAGAACGATATAAGCGGGTAGCTACTACTTTCATCCCGAGAGCAGATCTCTATCTAACGGTTTAAGCTCCTTTCCTTTCATCCTGGTCGTAGAGGAGTGGAGTGGAAAGAAAGGAGAGAGCAAGAGAGAGTCAACCGCGTTTCTCTCCGTTCGTCTCCCCATCGGACCAGAGAGACCGACCCCCTGGGATCCCATTACTAAAAGACTAACCCTTATCAAAGATTAAACTTCGGTATAACTGCTGAATCGACGGGATCGAAATTAAATTTTCCGTCGGCGAACGCGGCTGGAAGAGATGCTTACTTCCTTCCTCTCTTACTCTGTTTCATTTACCACCGATGACTATTCTTGGCTCCCTTCCTCGTGCTACCATATCTCGCGACATGCTTTTTCCGACGTTGTGGTCTTTTTTACATTATCTATCTAGTCTTCCCTAACCGGAACTTTTACAAACATACATAGATACTATTAATCACATTAACTGTGCTAGATACCAACAAAATTGATGTATACGCATTCGAAATTCGGAACGCTTTGGTTTCAAATTATTTAAAGTAAAACGAATTTATGAACTGACATAAATGACAGGACGTCCATCACGTAACGGAAGGTACCGTGGATTCTGATCCGACAAGAAGAAGGAACACCTTCCTGACAACTGCAGCCGCCATTATTGAGCTTTATTTTCACCCCCTTTCGTCGTAAGTACGCGCGCGAGAGGAAAGAGCAGGAGACGCGGAGGATGGCAGAAGAGTAGCGTGTGTGGACGCGCGACTGACGTGTTTCGAGGGGGCGAAGGGCGGTCGCGACGCGACGGGGCGAGATGGGAAATTAATAAAACTGTCACTTATCTACCCAACCCCGTAGGAGCAAGCCTACGCAACACGCTATCTACTGGCCCTTCCATCTTCCTTCTACCCCTCTAACTTTTCGGGCCGGTTGTTCCCTTCGCGGTCCGATCTGTCTTTCCATCTCCCTCTCACTCTCCTTCTCTCATCCCCCGCCGTGCACACGGGATTCACAGCAGCTGAAACGAGGCGCTAAACATTTCAATTTGGCATCGCAGCCGTCTCCTCCGATGGGTGTGTAGAGAGGGCACATTCTCGTACGCACATTTACAAGAGAATTCTCCTATCCATCCGGCCGAGGCGTGGGTCGAAGGCCTGTACACACGCGCGAGCAGAGCGAGGAGAGTCCAGGAGGAGGACGATAGAAGTAGGTGGTCCACGAGAGGCGAGCACACGGAGGTGAAACAGAGAGGACCGGGATGAGATGGGAAAAAGAGAGAAAGAGGGCGAAGGGAGGATGGCTTAACCCCGGTCTGTTTGCGACGAGCAAATGGCGTTCTGCAGTTATTTTAAAATTCAGCCGGATGGCAGGGGGCGCGGATCGGATTAAAAAATCAGAGTGGAAGCTTGTTTCTCATGATAACAGCCAGCCGCCCCCGAGAGCGGGAACTGCTGCTTTCTACCGATTCCGTCTCCTCCTCCCTGCCAACCACCCTCCTGCCACCGTCGGGTTGTCGAGTCTCCATATCTCTCTCTCCGCCTCTTCCCTGTCCACAGTCTCTCTCTTCCGCCATTCACTCCGTTTCTCTATTTCCTTTCCTTTCTCTGCCCGGGCCACCGCTCCAACTTTTTCTCTTCTCTCTGCACGCTTCTACCTATCTATCTTTCGCCCCAGTATCATCACACACACACACACGTATACAGACACAACCACGGAGGCGCATTTTCGTGGACCGCTTTAAAACGTTAACCCTTTCCCAGTATATCTATATACAGATCGTATTATGTGTATACGCGCATACGTATAGCCAAGTATAATCGTACTCTCTTTCCTCTTCTCGCTCGCAATAGGGGATTGATCGCATCAAAACTGCTTGTCTCCAGAGCGATTGCTAATCGGCCCGTCCTCCTCTTCCCGTTTTCATCCTCGCGCTTTTGTTACCATTTCTCGCACCCCCTTCGTCAATCTGCCTACAGTTCCCATAGGGATAATATTATCAGCCTTTTCCTGTTGCCCAGCCGTCTGCAGGCATTTTATCTAGTTACAATTCCTTTCACAGGAAAATCAGTAATAATTAAGTTTTTTAAATATAAGTAGTAATATAATACGATTGTTATAATGCAAGGGAAATGATCGCACGTGAGTCTCTCAAAATGTGGATACATCGTCAATTGTCAGATTTATACAGATTCTACAGTAACACGATCTCTGTTGATCTCGATTCTCCAGAACATCGTGCCGTTGTGTTACCCTCGGTAACGATCCAAGCGAATCAACCATTAAGTCTACTGAAACGGCCATTTCTCGCGACTCACGGCGGTTAAACGTAAACGCGTTTGTCATGGCGCAGCCTTTAAGGGGGATAAAAACGGGGGTGAGTGACCATGGCCAGTTCGAAACGAGGCAGGTGTGCGGGGCGCCTGTGACGGCGGCGGCTCAACCGACTCCGCCCCTCGTTACCGCTGGTAACTAGGGGTGATATCCGACTTCTTTCCTTCCTCTCCACCGTTCTCACGTTACTATCGCCCGTCCCCGTAGCGCCCTAACGTGTATCGTCGACGCACACCTTTTCCCAGGTAGGGCTCCGCGTGCTTCGCGTTTTATCAACGAAGGTGCCCGCAGCCATTTCGGTGACGCCATCTTCCCTTCGGTACAAAGATACACGTACTCGGTTCGCGTGCATATGCATACAGGTAAGTACATAAACGTGTGTACACGAAACGCCACGCTTCCCCTCAAAGCACGCGTTCACTCACCTAGAAAGCAAAGAACCTTCCTACCTCGTGGTCGCGTTTCGGTTTAATCAACCGCGAAGCCACGCCAACCTTTTGCGCGGTCCCCTTTCATCTCTGTCCAACCGCCAACGCTTGTTCACCGCCCCGGCCTAAGGGAATATCGAGTGTGCGCAAACCGAATTGGATTTGATACTTTCTTCAGACAATTTACAGGCAAAGTCTATCAGACAATTTTAGAGACAACAAGAAGAAGAGATAATGACTGCAGGATAACGAGATTCGTTTTTCGCTACTTATATTCCTAGTTTTAGATCTTGCGTACAAGTGAGTGGAAACGTCGATTAGGGTTTTCACTCGATTTACGCAACGGACCGAGCAAACGTTAAGGAGTTTTGTTAGAACCGAGCCGAGACTCGCCACAGTACAAGCGAGAAAGTTCTGCGTACGCGATGACAGTCGGTCGTTCCACATCCAACTTTATTACCAGTTACCCGCGACGTGACAGATCGATCGTAAACCGCGCGCTTGTGCGAGCCGTGCGCGCGTGTCGAAGATTGCCGCCGGTCTACAGAATAGGACATACACGTACGTATGCATACCTACGTGCACCCGCTCGCATCCGCGCGTACACACACGGTATAACTCTCGTAATAGAGATTATACAATCTCTCCCTCGGTCGGAGTTTCTATAAAATGATACACAGCCCGCCACTTTGTCGCGCGATCGTTTAAATCCATCAACGGCTCGCCGAACTTGTATAGGAGCTGCGATTAAAATCAGCCGCTGATGAATTATCGAGATTACCCGCCACGGCTTTCATTCCACGGCTAAATTACTGGAATTGACAGAAGCCAGAAGAATTGAGGGCGTCAGAAATAGACTTGCTTACAGCTTTTTAAATTTTTAATACTTTGTTGGGTGCTTAAGAATAATTTAAGCCTAAGCAAACGTAAATTCAAGTCTAATCCTTTGTAAATTTCGCATATATAATACAGACAATCCTTCCTTAGGCTATCAATTATTTCTCGGGATTTTGACACGCGTGATAAGATTCCATTCTCTTGCAAAGAGAATATGGGGGCGAGACTGAGTCATTAAATCCGGGCGGAGGATTTAATCCGCGTCTATTAAGGCTAATGGGAAAAAGCGCGAGGAGGCGCGGCCTGGCGGATGGACGAAACGCTGTCATCCGCACGTCGTCACGTCGCGGCGGAGTTTCAAAAGCAGAAGTGCAAGGAGGGCGGACACGAGACGAAAAACGCGTGTCCCCGAGCTTTTCACAGGCGCAACCCTTGCGGGACAAAAAGCACCCCGGCTGGGATCCGAAACCGGGTCATTAAACGGCCGTACATCATCGCGGGACGTGACACGTCCTGAACGACTGGGCTCATTAGACCCAGGGATATTCCCAGTTCGCGTTGTATCCGAGTTCAGGGAACGAGCCTCCCGGGAATGTTACCGAGAATGAATTTCGTTCCCTTTAACACAATTGTCAACGTTTAAAAATCGGTAGAACGAAGTGGCACTTCAGATTATAATTATTAAGAATTTCACGATATTTCTAATTTAAATCTAATCTCTCAAAATCAGGTTACAGTAATATGGAACAAATGTAAGACATTTGTGATATCAATTGGAATTTTCAATCTCGACTCGATGATCGTATAAAACAGGCGTAGTTCAGTCTTGAACTTAGAAACGAGCGTGGAAAACACGGCTGATCAAGGCTATAAACTACAGAGATTTCAAAATATAGACACGG